AGCATGCGGACGCCAACGGCGATGATCGTGGGGCTGGTGCTGTGCCCCTGCGGGCTCCTGCTGACACTCACGGCCACGCTGGCACCCAACTGGAGGCAGGTGAGCCACATACCCAACCAACCCATTGACCTCATCTTGGAGCAAGGCATCTGGGACATGTGCCAAGAGCGGCAGAGCACCCATAACCGCCTCTGCGGGCAGGCTGATGAGCTCAGCTACTTTGAGCAGGTGCCCGTGCGGGTGGCCCAAGGGCTGATGCCCACCTCGTTGGCGCTCAACCTCCTGGGCTTGGTGGTGGCTGCCCTGGGGGTTCGCTGCTGGCAAAAGGAGCCACGGCACCTGCTGGCTGGTGTGGCAGGACTTGTGCTGTTTCTCTCAGGGCTGCTGAGCCTGATGCCTGCCTCCTGGTACACCCATGAGCTGTGGGCACTGCCTGCACCGGCTGGCAGCACGCTGGTTGTAGGCTACAGCTTGGTGCTGAGCTACTTGGGAAGCTGCCTGGAGATCTTGGGGGGGCTGGCCCTCACCCTCAGCTTCCACCGCTGCTGCAAGGAGCACAGGGCCCCCAAACTGCCCCCCAGCCCTGTGCTGGAGGCTGGACCATGCTCCACCACTGGGGCTTACCGCAATCCCTGGGATGTGCTGGAGGATGAGCGAGACGGACGACACTGGAGGAGCACCCTGCCTTGTGACTCTGACTTGTAGCCCCAGCACAGGGACAGTGGGCACCGGCCAGCCTGCCTGCCTGGCACTGAGAGCAGCGCTTGCTCCTGCCCCTCCAAGCCATGCCCTTTTCTTGGGGTACCTCAGAGCAGGCTGGAAACAAGACCAAGGACCTAGCTTGAATCTGCAACCTCCTCAAAAGCCTGCCATGCTCCAGGTGCCACAACTGTGCCAAAGCCTTTCTGGGCTGAGGACCAGCCCTGGCTCCAGTCCCTCCATGCAGCTGTTAGCCCATCCTCCTGCACCGTGCAGCAGCTAAGGCAAAGGCAGCTCTGGTGTTCCCATGTGAATAAGTTACAGGTTAGCACTGTGTCGCCTTCAGGGCTGGGAATAGGGGAGGGGAGTACCTCCCACATGTCTTTGCTCAACTCAGGGCTGTGCAAACAGCAAAATAAATGAAGAGGAACGGGTCTGTGCTGTGGGATGGTTATGGGCTTTCTGCCAGGCAGGCTGGGCTGAGAGCCAGTGGGCACGACTAACCTGGCTCCCCCCATGCTTTGCCTGAAGCAAGGAGGAAAGGTCTGTAAAAGGCGACAGGTAGCTTTTATAGCACCTTCCTTAAGGACTTTTCCCCCATGGTCAAAATCAGCTCTGGAAGAGGTTTCTCCTTCCTTGAGCACAGCCACTTCAGGGGAAAAAAAAAAGAGATCACGGGAAAAAAAATAGCATATATTTCCCCTTTCATCATTACCTTGGTGTGAGGCAGTAAAACTGGTTTCACTGGTTTGTAAGGGACACTCAGGAGGTCAGAACTGCACTATAAAATCCTGCTCGGCACCCTGCATAACAGGGCAAGAGGTGAGCCAGCTTCTTTGCAGAGCTCTTCAGCCAGATTTCTACCCTAGGTGAGCCCAAAGCACCCTGGTCCGCAAGCTAAGCCTTGCTGCAGAGGGACACTGTATCAGGATGCCCTAAATGTGGTTAAGGGATGGTACAGGATGCACCCTGCAGCAGGGGATCAGATTCAGGTGGCTCAGAGAGTGTGTCGGGGCTGGAGGCTTCCTGGAAAACCTCCCAAACCTTTTTGCTCTGGACTGTGTTCAGTTTTGGGCCCCTCACTACAAGAAGGACATCGAGGTGCTGCAGCATGTCCAAAGAAGAGCAATGGAGCTGGTGAAAGGTGTAGAGCACAAGTCTTATGAGGAGCAGTTGAGGAAACTGGGGTTGTTTAGCCTGGAGAAAAGGAGGCTGAGGGGAGACCTCATCGCTGTCTACAACTACCTGAAAGAGGTTGTAGCGAGGTGGGTGTCCGTCTCTTCTCCCAAGTAACAAGCGATAGGATGAGAGGAAATGGCCTCAAGCTGCGCTGGGGGAGATTTAGATTGGATATTAGTGTTGTGGTTTAACCCCAGCACAATTAGAAAAAATTTCTTCACCGAAAGGGTTGTCAGGCATTGGAACAGGCTGCCCAGGGAAGCGGTTGAGTCACCATCCCTGGAGGTATTTAAAAGACCTGTAGAAGTGGTGCTTAGGGACATGGTTTAGTGGTGGACTTGGCAGCGCTAGGTCTTTTCCAACCTAAACGATTCTATGATTCTATGTAAGTTCCCTAGAGCTTAGAGATCTGGGAAGAGCAAACCAACCTCCCCTCCCCAGCCCACATGCAAACCACAATGGCACCAGAGATGCTGCGCAACGTTCCTTTATGAAAATACAGTGTCGGGGCGAGATGGTCCCTTCCTCAGCGGGGCTGGCAGCTCCTGCAGAGATCACAGACAGGTGCATCAGGGACGAGTCTGAGCAAGCCTCCCTGGGCCTTCCCCACATTTTGGCACAGGGGCTCCAGCCACAGGTGGAGTGGGACAGCCCCTGTACCAGCCAGACTCCAGGCATCCCCAGGTCTTGCCCCTCTCCCCCAGCAGGAAAGCAGAGCTTGCCTCAAGAGTGGGCACCATGCCAGCGCTGGGCCTGGGGAGGGATCTGCGTATCGAGGGGGCCTTGGGGCACCCCAGGGTGGCAGGGGGGTTGCTACCAAGGCCTGCTCCGGATGCTGCTCACCTCTTTCCCATCGTAAGCTTCATTCACAAAGGTATCACTCTTGGGGGGAAGCTCTTCCTCCTCCTCATCCTCTTCCTCGGGGTCACTTTCACGGTGGTACAAGGTCAGCACCCGGGTGGAGGCAGTGCTTGAGGTCCTGGGGAGGAAAAAAAGTACACTGAGGATGGCATGTCCATCTCCTAGAGATGGGGCAGATCCCAAGGTCCTGCCACAACCCCTGGTAATAGCCTGCTGGGGTGATTGGAGCTTTCCACATAGCCCAGGAGTGCCCCAGGACACCACGCTGTCCCTGGGCAGGGAGAACCTGTCCCTCTCCATCCCCAGTTGTACCTGGCCCAGCCCAGCGCCAGAGCTCACCTCCTCCGTCTGTCCCGCTTCCGCATGTAGGCCAGGGCCCCCACAGCAGCGGCAGCGAGCAGCAGGAGCACGGCCACCCCCAGTACGATAGGTCCTGCAACGGGCTGCACCTCTGCCTCCTCGCAGTAGTTGCCACGATAGCCCAGGGCACAGTGGCATGTCACTCGCCCAGCCTCGATGGCGCAGTCCCCGCGCAGGTTACACGTCTCGCTGCTGCACGGCACGGCCCCCAGCACCTCCTCGGAGCTGGGAGGTACCAGGAAGGGCTCTCCATGCTCCCGGGGGCCAGGGGCTGTGGGCAGGCTGGGGCCGGGCTGCCGAGGCTTGGGTGCAGCTGTGGGTAAGGCTGGTTTCTGTTCTTCCACATGGGACATTCCTGACGGTACCACCACAGGGACCTGCGTTCCCACTTCCACGGAGGGGCCTGGAGGGATGGGCATAGATCAGCAGAGACCCAGGTGAGACCCTCCCCTTCCCAAACTGGGGGAGACTAGGCAGGCCCCCCCTGTGCCCAGCCAGGACCCCTGCACGCCCTGGTTGTGGGCAGGCACTCACAGTCAGACTCATCGGAGCCGTCAGCACAGTCAGGGTGCCCATCGCAGACCTGCTCTCCAGAGATGCAGCTCTGGAGGTCAGAGCAGGCCTGAAGCGGGGCCAGGCAGGGCAGTGCCAGCACGCATGCCACCCCACGCACCAGGTGGTAGCCAGGGGAGCAGCGGCACAGCCGCCCTGCAGGATTGGGCAGGCAGAGATGGGCACAGCCCCCGTTGCTCTTTGCGCAGCCGTTCGTGCCTGCCAAAACAGCACAGGTTAGCATGGCCACCACGGGGCACAGCTCAGCCCCCCAGATGCCCTGGGCTGGGGCAGCCCCAGACCCACCTTCCTGCGAGAACGGGCTATAAATCCTCATGGCTACCAACTCCTGCTCCATCGGGAACGACCAGCTCTCGGCCCGCTCCAGCCGACTGTGCCAGATCTTGCTGGAGCCTGGAGACACATGGGGTCAGCACTGCTCCACCCCCCCCGCAAGGGTGCCCAGGATGGGAGGTGGAGTCCCCCAGCCTGCCCTTCACCCTGGGGAAGGGTGGCAGAGACCCCTGTGTCCTGCTGCAGTAGGAGGAGCCGGACAAAGTACAGCAAATGGACTCACCATTGGTTGAGGTCGTGCTCCAGAGCAGAAAGCCTTCTCCGATGGCGAAGAGCGAGAGGCCGTGCAGCCCTTCCCGCACCACCCGGAAGCGGGATCCGTCCAGCTCGATGCTGCTGATGGTGCCTCTCTCTGCAGGGCACAGATGCAGGGACATCAGAAGTGGGGGCACAGAGGGCTCCGGGCTGCCCCTCGGGGCTGTGCCAGGCTGTGCCCTGCGGACCAAGCGCCTGCACCACCACTACC